GCAGCAGTCTGACCATTTAACCTCAGCTGGGTCGAGGTACGCACCTTAAGTGGGTCGAGGTACGGACCCTAGCTGGGTCGAGGTCCCGAGGTAGTACGTTTGCTGGGATCAAATTAAGGAAGCAGCTTCTCGAAGATGTAATTTCAGAAATCAAAATACCAAATCTAGCCATTCAAGCCTTATAAGTGGAACTATTCCAGTACATTCCGCGTCCTAATCGTAATCATTACAATCGTCCAGCTGAATTCTTCACTGCTTTGGATATATTTCAAGGACCAGGCCAAAACCTTGTTCACATTACGCTTCTTGTGGTGTTTTGCATTTGGGGTGTAATTGACCGAGGCACCAGTGGCCGCTTAAAAAGCTCATTAAGCCCATTGAGCCCTGCAAATGTGCCCGGTATTTTTTCGGAGGTTGATGGCAAATGAGGAGGTGAGGTCCACCAGATGAGCGCCTACTTTGCGCTGCCATGGGTGGGAGAACTTGAGCCAGAGGAAAGTTGTGGGCATGGAAATCGAAGATCACGTTTTTGACGACCTTTATGCTCTCTGGTGCCTGAGAGGTTACCACGTCGGACATTACGACTGGCTACCTTGGTAGAAGTACCCGTGATTTCTGGTGAATCAACGGGAGTTTAGCCATAAATTCCTGCAGATTAGAAAGCGCTAAATGTAGGATAAATGAACCACGGTTTCTTGTCGTAGGTAAACCGTCAAAATCCCTTGAAATACTAGTTTTCCCGCCTTGAAATCTCTCTAATTTCGATAGGACTTTCAAAAAGCGTTAAAGCACGTTCAGGAGAGGCTCATGAAGAATGAGACCACCCTAACGAACAAATTTTTCTTTCAGAAGGAGTCGATTCCTGTTGGCGATGCTCTCGACGTCGGGTCGCTACTTCACTGCCATTATATCGCTGTTGGTCTGCGTAGCGTTACGGTTACCAACAGCTTTTGCCATAGAAGTTGCCGTTTATCCACATTGTCATGATTTTTTCCGTACTATGACCACACAACCGAGGTAGGCGCATCTGCCTTTTGAAGAATATCATGGTTAGTGACGGCTTTTGTAGAACAGGTCTAGGAACTGAAAAGCAAGAAATTCAATAGAGCTAACACATTTTTTGCAAAACTGTTCGAAATTGCGCCTACGTATCTTTGGGCTATTCTATCTGCAATATTAACGTAGCCTGAGAAGCAGATGGCCGGTGCCAGACTTCAATGATATGGGACTCATTGCAGAGCCTGGACGAACGACTCAGAAATCTACTACTTTTTCGATTTTCATTTGATGACCATCGCCCAAACCTGTGCCTTTTGTGATAGGGCTTTTGCCATTGAATTAGTTGTCGAAGTACTTTTGTCTACAATTTTTATTTCTGATTGTTGTAAACGGTATCGCACTTTTCGAGACAAATGGAGATGCTTGAAGTCACCCCCCACGATCGAGTTGTTGACAAATTGGAAAATGATAGTGAATGTTTGAAGCAGATCGAAAATCGGGAACAAAGGGAAATAAACTCTCGGAAACTCTGATATACTGGCTTTCTTTTTCTTGACCGTGGTGTGAGGCGAGCGAATGTATCGATGAGAGATAATAGCGTGGAGAAGAAGAATAGGCGAGGAGTGCGTATAAAAATCGGGATTGAGAACCATGGTACGAACGAGATACGCGGGGCCTAAAGCGATCCATTGCGATGCCCCTTGAGCATCCTCAGGCCTTTTATGTTAAGTGGCTTATCTTCTTGACATGTTTGTGGCGGTGAATTCTGCCGGTACCTCCTGCTTCCCTCCAGTACCTACGACGAGGGGTTGTTGCCTTTTAACAGATCATTCATACAGGCTTCTTCACACAATCCTGTTCCCTGAATGTGATACATATTCCCGTAATTAGGTATTTGTTTACTGTGATTAACTGGAACATTATGACGTTCCATTGATTTTACTGCCAGTAAACAGACTGATGATCGTTTCTCACACATATGCCACCACAACCACCTATGTAGGTGTTGTTGTAGCGCTCGAAATTGAATACGAAGTGGACCGCCAATAAATAAAGTAATAGAGGGAAACATTGAGCGGTATAACTTTCCGAGGAGGTAGACGCTTCACCACAAAGGGACACTGTACGCGAGGGAACAGGCAAGAGAGTAGGGGTACGAGAAAGACCGCAGAAGGGGGGGGTGACGAGCAACAAGATTTAGGTCCCGTAGCCACCACTTCATCCTGAAATGAGTGCCGGAAACCTGCGCGTCTTTTAAATTGGGTGAGAACCTGCTCACACGAGAGTATTTGTGGTCCTCTCAACAAATATGGCGTTCGTTTCCTTTATGGACACCTTTTCAGCATCATTCCTTCTAATGGCAGATATTTCATGCATCACAAATTGCTTTTAGTCATGATATCTGGACCTCCCACATGTTTTACCTAACAATCCTTATAAATTCTTTTTTTGGAAAATGACAGGAACTTGTCCCGAAATATTTAAATTTATTCAAGTGAGCGAGTCCCGCAGAACTAACGATTATAGCGCTCTTCATAGGTTCAAATGTTTTCACGAAAAGAAATATGGTAAGTGTGCTTTTATATCTCACTTCCTGCTCAAAAAAAATGCGACAGCTGTGAGTATGAGATAATTGCCTTTCGCCGATCTTCTTTTGTAACTAAGGAAGGTCGCAGGTGAAGAACACCTTTCGAAGCGAAACCTGGTGTATCAACTTCTCCCACAAAAGGAGAAGAAGTCACAATAGTGAAGGTATGTCGTTCTCACGTCTCGAGAGCGTGCAATAAAGGGCGCTAGGGCCTTGTCGCTTCTGTAGAGGGGGGGGGTGATATCGTTATTCACAATTCAAGAATCTAATTTGCGAGGTGTCTGCGCCTCTTCCGACTCCTACGCTGTCTCGCCACTGCAATTGTTTCTTACCTTGTGCCAGCTTTTCTATTTGTCGTAAGACTAATCACGCCCTGAAAATGAACCTTATTTTATGGAAATATGTCGGCGTTTCCCTTCCCTTTTTGGTGGTTCCGTCTCTCCCGAAGAGAAATTACGCATACAAAACAGCAGTGTCTTTGAAGGATGGGGGGTCAAAGTTGATCCGTATCACTTCAAAGGAAGCGATTACTATAATATAAAGAGGAAACGCATCGGGTTAATGCAGGAAGCCGCTGTGATCCACACGAAGCAGTAGTCTGGCGTGCTAAGAAAGCGGATCGCGTGGCTATATTCGACGAAAAGGCGTGGTTGCTGAGGTGCAGTGACTTTGAAAGCACTCCGGCTAGAGAAAGCGGTACTACTAAATCCACTAGTTAGTTGGTGATTCGGAGAGCTCCTGCGCCAGCAGCGGTACACACTGCACCAACTCGACTGAGCAGGTGGATTGGGCTGATGCCGCTAAACGTGTTGCCTTTAAATCGTCCATACTTGCGCCGTATTAACTGCTACCCCTGCTCCTTAGAAAGAATGAACGGTCAAACAAGGGGATTCTGCTTTGCGTTCCTCTTCAACGGATTTTCCAGTGTTTTTAACCGTTGGCGTACCACTGAGCATCCCACTTCTATTCTAAACCCCTCTGAACCGATCGCAATCGCTGCCCTCAAGAGGTACCATGTCTCTTACCTCCATTCTCATCTGGGCCGTATGCTATGCTTCCCCGAAGCTAAGTGATCCAAAGTTTCCTTTAAATTTACTTTGTTTGAACGATATAGTTTCTTCATTTTCAGTGCATGTTTACTTTTACCTACATACATACATTAAATGTAGGTCCTTTATCAGGGCAATCCCAGATGGGAAGACAGAGAAAATTTAAAGAGGATTTCTCGCGTCCCCAACCCCTTCGGAGCGCTAGCATCGGCCCTCGCCGTTACGCATTCAAATTAAGTATTCAGCATAACGCTCCGACTTTTTACTACAAAACAAAAAACAGCTGCATTCTCCTCCTGCCACAAGCTACGCACATAGTTACTCATGCACCATAACACCCCTGCGGATCAAGGCCTTGTTATTGTAGGCTGAGCTCGAGATCAAGGCTATCACAATCACACATCACGAGAGCTCACCCCACTCACCACGCATTATATCTCTGGTATCCTATCTCAGACCACGGGCGGAACTGGTGTAGTGGCAAGTGGAACGCTTACTACGCGCGCGGTCCGGGGATCGAATCCTGGGTCGTGCATCGTCCGGCCACGAGGCCTTCCTTCCGTCCGCGGTCGGTTAATTGGTACCAGACTTGTCTGGGAGGATAAACACTGACTTGTACATCGGCTGGCCCCCGCAAGTCATTGTATAGGCCACATCGCATTCAAACGCCACTACGAATGTACAAATGGAAGTAGAATGCGTGCCGCATCCCAAAAAGGGATTGATCAACGGCAAATGCTTTATCCTTTTATCCTTTATTTCAGACTCAGTTATTATATAAATCCTTATAATTTAGGTGATTATTCGAAAGCTTACAAAGACCACTCAAAATAAATCGGAGCTGATGTGCCATTCAAACGCTAACGTGGATTCACTCAATTCAGGTACGATCCGCAGTTTTCAATCCATTAAATATTCTCTTCTATGGTAGAGATCTTAGTGAGTAGTATCTAATCAATTTAGCTAGGGAAATCGTTCCCGAATAATATCGAGAGCTTAAATTCTAAGCTCTCTGTAACACCGTTTCCAGGCTTTGGCGCATCCGTAATCGCCAAAGGTGAATCTCGATAGCTGTTTCGTTTTAGACGTGATGTAGCTTATGTCATTCGCTCTGCAGTGATCTATCTTAAGAACGACGTGAAAAGTGTGAAAAATAACTATAGATGTTAATCATGTGTTCCGAGTGCGCCGTGCTTTACTTGGCGATTCTTTGTAGTGAGTCGTAATTGGATGTGTATTCGGCCATCATGTGATCAGCCTTTTACTTAGTCCTTGACTCTATGGATTTCCCTTAAGATTTGTAAAATCTCTTTTTTTTCAACGGGAAAAAATGTTTTCCGAATGAACGTCAACTGATGACCCACTCTTGAGTCCTACCGCCACATCCTTGAGGCCTATTCAGGCACTTATCAAGTATGGCTAAGTAATCCCAAGCTTGCAGGCAGACACTACCGCAATGCTGTGCTGTGCTTCACTAAAGAACTCTGCTCTATATAAGACTTAGAAATTCCTTATGGGTCGCCAACGGGAGAAGGGCTTAAGACGTTTGAACTGTCTGTCTCGTAAGTCGCGCTTTTTATGAGTCACTATACAAATAAGGGGAAGCTGTTCAAATCAGAAAATGAGAAGAACAGGGCGCCGTCGTCGATGGATTTTTGTAGAAAAAATAAAATATTCACAGCAACAGTCCCTGCCCCCATTCACAGTTCCCTCAATCGGTTTGCTGGTGTATAGTTTCGTACGTACAGGAGCTGTGACTATGCAGGATCATTTGCGCCCACCACTTTCATATTACACGCCATAATGCGCGTAACTCTTTCGAGCACGTCCGTTGAATGCGAATGGTTGACCATGTTTCCTCTGAATTCTACTGATGTGTCCGTGGTAGAGGCATCTGATGATATTTCCTGATAGAAATGAGCTCTTCCACTATCAGTTCGGCTCATTCGGTCTGAATCCAGCAAAGTGCGACTAGCCATCAAAGGAGTTTGAGATGCGGAGTAAGGACGTGTTTTTACTGTTCTCCCCACCTCCCTGAATTCTTTGCCACGTTGTCAGACTTTCAAGGCTTTGCGACGGAATCGACTAGGAAAAGTTGCCAAATTTCTAAAAATTGCCTCAAGCGTTATTTTGACGTCCGACTGTAATCGCGAGCTAAGCCGCTCCGACCGTAATCACTCATTCTGTTGCAAGGTGCGGAACTACTCGAGTCCTTCCTACTAAATAAGAACATGGCTTTTGAATCGCACCCACAAAGTTGGCGCGTTGTTCGTACGGGATGCGCTACGCACTCGTCTATCGCCATAGGGGCCTACGCGCGATTCACGAGTTATAGAAGGTGCTTGCATCAAGCCATTTTTTTTAGGCGACTGATGCACGAGAAGGGCCTGACTTCAAAAACCTTCCAAACACATTTGAACGTTATCCTTTTTGTAGTAGGACTGAGCTTGAGCGGGAAGGAGAAGACTTGGGCTGTCGTGAATTTATTTTCACTTTCACTAAAATTACGCCCGCTCGTGGTCCGCAGTTCTGAAGGTGTGCCTGAGGATCTTACGCTAGCGCTCCATTTCTATCTTTCGTGACAGGTGTTCGAATTTAAGTAGTCAGAGATTATTCCAGTCCAGAGTTTTTTTTCAGCAGGAACATGCGAAAAACGCTTAAGTCGCTAACACACTGCAAAAATGGTAACCCGCAAGAGCCCGTCGTGCAGCAGGAAAGGCAAGTCATCGGTTGCAAATCGCATGATGTAATTGCATGTGGACATACTATGTGCCTGTCCATTCAAACGTGACGCGAATCAACTTACACGTACAACGCTACGTACTCGTCCTAGTGACTCTGTCCTTGGTTGCCCGCGGACTGCCTCTCTGTCGGTTCCCGGCAAAACATAGCTTGTTTTGCAGATGTACTGCCTACTTTTTTGGAGCCGCGCGTTGCGCAACTTCGCAGATTCTGATGTCGCATCGTTCACGCGCTCTCGATAATTCACCCTGGAAACTCGCGCTACGGATGTACGTTTACAACTTAGAACCTGCTTTCTGTGTCAATTTCTTCTCCCTCGGCTTATACGAAGTTATACGAGTGTGAGTGTTGCTTATGGGGATATTACGCTAAGAAAATCGAGTATCAAAGAAGCATGACACCGCTCAGAGGTAAGAAGTCCCATTGATAATTGTGCATAGGTCTTTCGACAATGAATTTATGTTGGACTTAGGTTTGGCCGAATTGTTCTGTTCTAATCAGTGTGAATATTAATAATACCAAAGTGATGGAAAAATGGAACAGTACCGATCCGCTTTTAGTTATATCGTTATCGAATTCGACCAGTGAAAAGTGTGTCGGCGTCGGTGAGAAGTGCAATTATGACCATGGTGGCGATCGTTGCCAGCTATCTGATCTCGAATACGCTGCATCTGATTTTGACCGTCATGGAAAGGTCTGTTGGAAGTTTGCTTCAACCGTTTACTGGTAGATGGCGAGTAATAAATTACAAGGGCGAGTCCCGAATATTGGTTTCAATCAACGAACTAATCACATTGGTGTCTCACATACGATCGCAGTGTCTCCCCCGCGCATGAAAGTGTGATTCACATACGAATCGCGCGTAGTCAAGTTAAAATATTTGGCTCGTTCATAAATAAAAAGCTTTTAACGCTCATATATACGAATGTCTATTAAGATCTGACCATCCAATACTTCACGACACTGAGGATCCGCTGCTGTCATCAACGTTCCATACGTTCTTCTCTGATGCGGTCTCGTTCGTCTATATGTTCACCTCAGCGATACGTCTTCTGATATACTTCTTCTGTAATCCAGCTATTCGAGGCGACATCCTTACCTTTTTCGGCTCCTCATCTCCTGTACTTTTATAATACCCAATTCTATTCATCTTGTGTCGGACCGCCTATTTTTCCTCTATCACAATCGCTGAGCTGAAAGCTATCATTATTATTATTATTCGTGGGAATTGTGATTTGTCACATGATTTTGCTGGATTTTATTATTAGGATCTGAAGAACGCACCCAAGCTGCTTATCGATTCTAGTCGAACAAACGGGTTGTATCTAATCACCCTGCCCTGCGCCACCCTCGCTCCACGATTCTATGCGAACATGAAAAGCCTTTACTACGCATTGACTGGTCAAAATTTTTATCGAGATTATACTTCTTCACCCTCAACTCCTTTTCCTCTTATTACTAAACTAAACAAAACGGATTTTAATCCCCTTACCCTTCGTTTCAGAGAGCCAGAAACGCGGTCCACGTGCAGGTATCTCCACACCGCAAGTACGACTACTTGAATAAACCTGGTAACTAGTGATAGCTGAAGTTGTTAAATGATAGTTGAGTTTGTGAAAACTGCTGAAATACAACTTCAACAGTCTAATCATCTCATTGACAGACCCCCAACCATCCCCTCATCTGGAGGCCATCGTCACTTGGTTGTGTTGTGGTCTGCACTCGACACGCTTCTGGTATTCTGAAACAGAGGTTACCTTCCATTGTCCTAGTCTAACACAATCATCTGCTCAGTTTCAAGTCTTTGCTCCAAAATGTATTTCTACTTTATGTAATTGCTCGTGTGAACATTTTATATTTTTCATGAAATTTGAATACGGTATATAATTTTATGAATTTAATAGATGTAATTTTGCTTATGACTGCATGGCTCCAGACACATGAAGGCAAGTAAATTTAGAAGTTATATCAATGCTCTATGTATTGTTCCTTCGAAATATTATCGATAGAAGCATTTATACTTTTGTGCTCTGTACCACGTGTTACTTCGGGTAAATAAAGTATTCTAATTCAATTTCGTCATGATAGTGGCTTCACAAGAAAGCAATAAAGGATAAAAGGATAAAGCATTTGCCGTTGATCAATCCCTTTTGGGATGCGGCACGCATTCTACTTCCATTTGTACATTCGTAGTGGCGTTTGAATGCGATGTGGCCTATACAATGACTTGCGGGGGCCAGCCGATGTACAAGTCAGTTTTTTTTATCCTCCCAGACAAGTCTGGTACCAATTAACCGACCCCGGAGGGATGGAAGGCTTGGTTGGCCCGGGCGACTCACGACCCAAAAGAAGATCCGGGAAATTGAAAAAAGAAGAAATGATGAATGAAAACGAAGGAGAGTGATAGTAGGTTATTCAGAGCCGAAACAAAACATTATTAGAACTAATAATGCGGAATACTTTGTCATTTTACCTGAAAAGTTCCACAGTGGCAACAGTGCTGTTTTTGCAGCATGAGCGGGAGCTTTTCCAAGGCAAACCTAGCTATCTATCGGATGTGGTTATTGCGGTCGAAAAGGAAAGTAGGTGGGCTAATCAGTTCCGCATCAGCAGTGATAAAAGCAGCAGAAATTGTACCAAATCTTACAAGGAACACCCATTTTTGAAACATTTTTGTGATTTTAGAATATGCTCGAGTAAATAGACAATAGACAAGGGTGAGCCAGTGCTCGGGGAAACTTTGGGATAGTACCATGGTCCCATCGGAGCAGTCCCGACACGGCTATCACCGCATGTCCTTTGGTCCTGCTCATCCTCAACACTATAACAGTTTTCCATGCCATCAAGTGAGGTGCTGGCATGGCGCGGGGGAAGAGGGTAGAGGGGGAACGGCTGAACTTGTTCAACTTCTACTTACTATATTTTAATTTTTGTATACCTTTTTACCCTACCACTTCGCTGAAGAAAATAAAAATTGCAGCCAATACGTCCCTCACCCACTTTTTTCAAAGCTTATAACACGGTTCCCTCGTTTGGAACTGGTCGACGACTGATTGTTTTGCTGCAGAAACTGCCCAAGCGCTACGTGAATTTGGACGCAATGCTCTCCACAAACACCATTCTTTTCATTTCCAATAAGATGATAGAAAACAGGCTGACACCATGATGGGGTAGTAGAAGTGACAACACTCGGTCTGTAAGGTCATGATGATAATATAGACGTCTAATCAAATTGTTTACTGTCTGAAACAC